CAACCTTTAATTTATGTTGAATGTACTTTTTAACTCGTATCCAGCTGCTATCAATTGAAATTGAATTGAAGGAGACCACATATATTAATCTACAAAGGTGTATATGGGTAATAAACCTGAGTTCAAACAAGATGTTATATTGAGACTTGAAGGAATAGAGAAGATACTCAATGAAAGGTTTACGAGAAACTTTAACAGAGTGCCAGTTGATGCAACGTATGGAAATAGAAAGAACGCATACTTGACTAGACTGAATAACAAAGACATTTTGCAACATCAAGTAATCATATTGAGTGCATTGGGTGATAGTATTGTTGTTGAGTTTGATACTGGTAGAGACTTAAAACCACGATTCATGCAATGTACTAGAGGTAGGCAAGTAAAAGAAACAGATGAGTTTACAAGTAAGCATTCTAAAGGAGTATACAATAAATCGTGTAGGGCTTGTCTGAACATAGGTAAGAAATCTAGGCTTAACAGGAAGGAATGAGCTCAGGGAGTTTTCTTAGGATAAAACACTTAGAGATATAACAACTTAATACACTAGGTGAGACAATGAGTGAAAGTAAATATGAAAGTGAATCGGAAGATGAAACTTATACGTTTTATCGTGAAATAAGCAAGTTCAATTATTTCACAAACTGTGCTTCGTGTAGACAAGTTAAGAACAGACCACAAATCTTACCAGGCAAATGCGAGGCTTTACATGGTGTTACACATATGATTACAGACTACTGTTGTTATAATACTTGTTGTAGAGTAAAAGAAGCTTATTGGATGATTACATTTATCCCTTTACAACAACCTTCAAAGATCGAGATTATGATGAGGTTCATAGAATATTATTTTGAAGAACTTTGTAGATACAGATTCTTACACACATCACATGCATAACAAAATGAAACGCATGTATGAAAATTTAGGAGCATATGCTTTTTACAAGTGGCATCAAGAGACGAAGGAATATTTCAAAGACTTTTTATGTGGATACTTCAGTTATTATCAGAGAATACATAAGTTCTTTATTGTGATAGTTTTTAACATAATAGTAAAAAGAACAGACATCAAGTTACCTTCCGAACATCTAGAGGAAGGTTCATAGAGGAAATGAATGTGTTTAATTCTGAGATATTATTGAAAACCCCTATGACCCATAAAATGAATAAACCTAAGCTCGCCCATTTCGGGAGTGACATCACCTGAGTATAGGATGAGTTGTATATGGTAATGTAGATTGGTGGATAATTGTTACTATTGGGGTGACGGTGATGTAATTACCCAAACTGAGCGAGACCCTCCCTAAGTTATTATGCCAATGCTGTCCCTGGCATGGAGTTAAACGCGATTTCCTGCGCGAGAAAGCCGGCATCATGCTGTCACGCATCGAGCAGCCAGTCCTAGCCACCAGCCCACCAGCAGCGCAGGCAAAAGTGGGCTGGCTTCCCCGGTTGGTCCTCACAGAGCTCCAGGAAGGCCAGCGATGGATGTGCCTTGGTGCAAGCTCGAGGGTGGTCACGACACTGGGAGAGTGTTCTTGGGACCCCTTCGCTTGCCACTAAACATGTGATTGCTTGTCCACCGGGGTCAAAATGAGATGGTGGCAGCTTGGACTTTTTCTTTCTCTCTCTCTCTCTCTCTCTCTCTCTCTCGCTCTCGCTATCTTTGTGGAGCTGCCCGTGGTCTGGACATGCTTTGGTTGAAAGGCTTTGCAGAACATGCTGCTCGTTCAACCTGAGAAATCTACCCCACTGCTCCGACTTTCGTGCGCCACTCTGCAACTTCAGCTGTACTTCACCATTCTGCCCAGGAAAGCCAAGACCAAGTGGGAGGCCAGGGAGGATGAAAGAAGCAGTCCTAGATCAAAGTCTGACTCGATTCAGCTATGCATATGATATCAGATGCTCCAAGAGCGACACAACCCTGAAAGCAGAGTCCCGTTTGGCGGGAGGGGCTCCTCGATTCTTTGTACCGCTTCACAAGTGCTTCTCCCCCCCTTCCAACTCAAAATCCTCCAGAGGGATAGGCCGGGCGTTGAGAGTCAAAAACCCTGTCAAAAGCAGGATCGGCTCGACTTGGAAGGGTGTTCTCAGCACGCCAGGCACGAGACGAGTCACAGTGTAGTGTGGAGATTGGCGAGTTCTGCCTGGTGTGGGTTAGCTCCCTCACCAAGGAGGGTGCGAGGCTCAGCCCTCCGGGTTCTGCGTCGGCTCAACTCCCCGAAAGTCGGATGCAACTGAGGCTGGACCTACGTAGACTGCCAGGACGCTGATGCCGGCTGTCGGTCGCGTCACCGGGAGACTTGTTGCCAGCCCTCCGGTCCGGACACTTATGGCCGAAGCCAAGCTCCACAGAGCTCTCTCTGGCAGGATCGTGCCAGCAAGGGCTGGCTTCCCGATTTCTGCTTGGCACCTCGGCGATGAGCTTGAGCTGCGGTAAAGTCCGTCCTTGCGGCCCCTCAAGCGATGATTTGAGTGCTCAGGTGTGGTCCGAGTAGTCAATACCTCCCGCGAGCTACTTGGACAGCAGGGGCAGAGTCGGAGCCACAAGTTTTCAGTGCTTCAACTGTGGGTGGACGCAGCAATTACCGAAAGGTAACTATCATGAGGTTGATCCATGACAATCAACCCTTTGCTGTCCGTATCACCACTACCGCCGTCACCGCCACCACACTGCTCCTTGTGCCGACTGCCCGCCGCCAACAACCGAGTCGGAAGGCCTCTTTAGCCGCGGCTGGAGGCATTGCCTGATGCTGACTTAGATGCCACTCGCGGCAACCACCCGGAAGGGGTGGGGACGGTGATCCACCTCGGCACTGGAGGGGTGCAGGATTCAGATTACCCAACTCCTAGTCAACAACATTGACATGTGTGAATTGCTCTAGCTGAAGGAGCTTCTTTTGCTGGTTGAAAACTGCTGTTTTGACAAGGGCCAGGTGCGTGGGTGTTCCCAGTAGCTCTGGAGCTCACCGGCCCCTTCTCTTTTATCACCTGCAGAGCTGTATACTAGCCAGTGACAGACTCTTTCTATCCATCCGTCGTGGCTACACAGAGCAAGTTAGACTAGCAAGTCGTTCACAATTCCCGTGAAGAGACTGTGGGATCAGGGAGTCAACGTGTGATGCGGCGGCGAAAGATGCATCAGGCAGTTTCTTGTCGTGCACCAACTCTACCTCCTCAAGAGATAACACCTGTCAATGTCATTTGCGCCGGTTGGATAGATCCAGTGACGGAGTCTGGGGGGTTTGTTGATGTAATTAGATGAGGGCCTATGACTCAATGAAGGCTGGGTGGGAAAAAATGAAGGCTAGTAGGGGTTTTCGGTGTGCGATTGGTTCAGGAAGGTCCCAAGGTAGCGATGCGGGTTTCTCTTGGTTTTTCATGGCTGGAGGGTGCAAGTGTTAAAGGCCTCTGAAGGCAAGACTTGGATTCTTGGATGTTTCCTGGCATGACGCTTCTAGAACACTATTTCAGCCATCTGATCGTTTCGGTGCCAAGTTCCAGGGACTTCCCCCCAGACTTGCAAGCGAAGCTGAGCTTGTTCGTTGTCACGCTTGGGACGTCGAATCCCTGCGTGGTGAGCCATGTTGGATCCATCAGTCACCAATGTCGCGACCTCGGAGAAAAGTGTCCGACAGGGTTGAGTGCGAGATATGCTTGCCGTCAACACCAATGCCTTCGAAGAGATCAACCAGCGGCCGCGTCTCATGCATTGCGATCTCAGCCAACAGCATCCCAGCATTTGCATGGAGGGAAACTGAATGAAACCTGGACCAGCTGCTGAAGCTTACTTTAGCGCAGTGAGATTTCAATTAGATCACAATTTCTATTGCAGGTAGCCTCGAAAATTTGAGATGCGGCTGGTTAGTCTATCACGCAAGAACAGGCCAGTCGCTTCAACCGGAATTGGGCAAAGACGAACAGCAGGCACGCCTATGGCCTTCAATGTACTCTAGACTCTAGACTTGTGTACGTAGTCATCCCCGCAAAGTGCCGCAGCAAACATCCCGAGTCTTGGGCTTTGCTGGTTTAGTGGCGGTATAATTGCCTGTCAGCTTCAACTATCTGCAGGTGCGTTGGTCCAAAAGCATCCTGCTCGGTTGCCAATGAAGAGCTCATTTGCGCGCAAGCTTCTGTTGACAAGTAACACAGTAGCACAGGTCCAGCACCGGATAGATCTAACCAGCAAGCGGTACTTTCCTGGAGTGAGGGAACGAGGGTTTCGAAACATGGAGGACGGCGCCTCTTCAGCTGCTTGGCACGGAAATATTTATCAGCGGCCCTTGTTTCTGCATGTATGCTTGCCCGGGCGGTGCTCATGGTCATGGACAAGTAAAAGTAGCTCCTTGCGAAGAAAGATTAGTATAATAACGAGGTGATTTGCGAGGAACGGCAGCAACCCCTTCCAAGGTCATGGGATTGGGGTTTCGCAGTACGAAGCTGCAGCTTCCGGGGCATCTTGCCATGCCTGTAAAAAGGCTAGAGGTCACCAAGTAAGAGCAGCAAGGGCAAAGCCCTAGCATAGAATCTGAAAGCCTTGCTCGACAGTCACTCTGTCTCTTGCAAGGCGAAGACTTCCACAGGTGCTCCGGCAGCGACATCGAAGGGCACGCGTGCCGGGCATCTTGTTCGATCTAAGGATTTTTCATCTTTGACATGCTTTTCTGGTGTCCGACTTCGATGTCAAAGGTGTTGTCGGTTGACTTTTGGGATGCTAGATGTCTTCAGTGATGCACTTGCATGCGGACCATCCGAGGTACAAGAAGCAAGCTGCCACGCCTCCGACACCCGGCCTTCGAAGTGATATTCAGGGCTTTGCATGGCCCGTGTCCGGCTTTTTTTTCAAAGGCAGAACCTGGACTTTGCAAGCGACAGCAGTAGGTTTCCTGGGCTGCCACTTGCGAAGCGTCGATGACAAGCGTGAGCAGTAATGGCGCAGAAAGCATCCCCAGCCGCCAGATTCAAAACTCATGGAACTTCGAAGTGCGGCCCAGGAAATGGAGCATGGCCGAAAAGCCCAAGATGTGCCTTGAATGGGACACCTTCAGACAGTACATGTCGGTTGGGAAGCCGAAACATCTGAGGATCATTGGAGGTCCAGTGCCCTCCTGGCAGGCGAGCATCCCAGGCGGGACCCGGAGCCAGGGGAGCCGCTTCATCGCTCTGCCTGCTGTAACCTGCACGAGACAGCACGAGTCTTGGCATTATTGGTGTCACGCATGAACCCTTGCCTCCGGTCAAAAAGTCGCGACAGGTCCTCAGTACAATTACGACACCAACAGCTTCAAGAAACTTGGCTGTATCCAAAGGAGTACCTTTGCCCCCGTATACTCTATACACTCCGATCTTCCCGATGCCTCCAGCCTGAGGAACAAGCAGCCGGTGTACTCCATGCGCCCAAAGCCAGAGATGGTCATAGGCCTCGACGCCCAGGGCTTCCAGAGTGAGGTGTTTAAAGGGGAAAGACATCTCGGCGGCTTCCGCGATCTGTTCTTAAGTTTTGGTAGTCCCCAGCTACAGAGCTCTTCTGGTTGCGGGCTGTTCCGATGCCACGAGGCCCGGGTCTCTTGCTGAACATCCGTAGACAGGTTCAGCCTCGCGGTTTCGCGAAGTGTTTCAGATGGGGCATGCGGCGTCACAGAGAGCATTGTTAAAGGGGCGGTGTACAGATTGAAGTGATTGGAGTAAGCCCAAGAAGCATTGGCCGTCTCCACCAATATGATGTCACGATGATACTGTTGTATCTGGACTCTATTACGTTTTGCCAAGGTGGCGGCGTGCCTTCTTGGACCAAGTCCATCCCGGGCCCCATCTACAGCTACGACACGAACAGACTCTCTTCAAAACCTTTGATAGGGGTTTGAATAGTCGGGAAATGACGCAGGCTACGCCTAGGCGGGGCTCGCGGAGCTGTCCTCTCTACGCATGCTCGAATCTCAGGTTTCAAGGAGAAGCAGCCTGTTTACAGCATCCGTGGAAGGGGCGACGATGATTTTGGACGCTTGGTCTGCCAATTTCTGGATGCTGAGACTGTCAAGGTCTACTAATCTACTAAAATTGCATGTGAATTCGGGGCCTGTTCTGGCAAATGTCGCAGTAGTGCAAGCATGCTACCACGCCGTTCATATGGGGAGCATGTAATGAGCGCACACATGACAAGTCATGCACAAGGGCATAAGAGTCAAACGAGCAAGATAGTCAGAGCCTAGGCCACACGACCTGGCTTGTGCTCAGCTTGAAGGTTTCCGTTCTTGACCAAGCATCTTCAGGGCTGCGAGTGTCGGTTGAAGATCTGCAATAGGTTGTCGGTATGGGGCAATATGGCGTAGGCCAGGCTTCGACGCCCTCTCCCTCAAAGCTCCATGCGTCCGGCCTCAGGCAACAAGAATGCCAAAGATGCCCCGCAGATATCGACAGAGCAGCTCATGAAGGCTTGGAATGAAGCTCTCCGCTGAAGTGGTGAGCACCGTCTTCTGTAGTTTGAAGCGTCCGTTCTTCGCTGAACGACGAGATGCTGCAAGCCTTAAGCACCCGCTTACGTCGATGTATGGACGATCAAGTCTTTGGCTGCGGGCTGTGGCAAAAGATCGAGAAGACCCTCCGAGATCATTCGACCGCCGGCAAGCGGGGCCGCCTCTACGACCGCTGATGCTGCCACTTCTGTAAAGTCTTGCAGATGTGTGTCTGTGCTGGGACTCATGACACCATCTCCCGATCAGCTTCTCTTCCAAAGCCTAGCTGCACCTAGCTTCTCTCGCAGGCCATCGATGCCACGCGGAAGAAGCCGCCGTCGTGGTCGCTCGGCCTTTTTGAAGGGATTGGCCCCACATCGCCTGTCGCTGCGCTGAGCCAGCCGAGGTCGGTGAAGTCCCGGCCTGCCATGGTGCCCGGCGATGCGGTGCCCTCCTGGGTGGCTTCCATCCCAGGCGCAGCCGAGAAGTGAGGGTTTAGGGCTACAGCGGCTACAGGCGACGAGAGGGTTGGGGTTTAGTTGAGAGACGGATTAAACTCGCACTTGCCTCCGGGTGAGAGGTCTTGGGCACTTGGGGGAGTCACCGGCCGAACAGATGTCGAAACTTGCTTCATACGCTGAGCTCAGGAGTTGGTATGTGGTATAAAGCCTTACAATACATACGCGCCGCCTTGTGTCACAAGTATACAGCTTACGCAGAAACTTATGTGTGTGTCTCTCTCTCTCTCTATATAGATAGATAGATAGATAGATAGATAGATAGATAGGTGTAACGCTATACATATAGATGTGGGTATGTCTGTCTGTCTGTTTGTCTATGTATGTCTATCAACCTAGACACCTGGGGAGACACACAGAGCACGAGATGCGAAGAACAACAGAGCTTGAGTCGAGCAAGCAAGCAGTCAAGAAAGTCTTCACGCGAGAGAGACGGCCTGCGCGCATGGTTGTGAGTGTGCATACATAGAGACAAAGAGGAAGCTGGTGAGTACGCACGAACACCATGCCTGTGCGACGACAGGACCGAAGTATCAATACTCTGCGGATGTCCACAAGAAGAAGCAGCCAGCGGAAGCCTGAGAGTGCAGCTTTAGAGTCGCACCGAAGAAGCCAACCTCATGAGCGGGACAATGCCACAATTCTAGACTCCTTGCCTCAGCCGGCATGGCAATGAGGTTCCAAAAGCCTTGAATCTGAGTAGCTGTGGTGCTCGTACCTGTAGTGGTAGGAGTCGTGGCTGCTGCAGCAGCAGCAGCGGCAGCAGAAGCAGCGGCAGCAGCAGCAGCAGCAGCAGCAGCAGCAGCAGCAGCAAGTGAAAGTGATGTCAATACACACGGTGATTGTACTGATGCGATGCTGGACTGCTAACACGGTCAAAGCAAGACGAGACATACCATGGAAGCGCAGGAATGGCATAGTAGGGATGGAGAGGATACATGCCCGTGGTGGTCGTGACTGCCCGCAGGCCTTTGCCATTTCATTTGTGTTACGGCAAACCTGTAACAATGAGGTTTTCTCCATCGGAAAGAAGCTTCCCTCCGAGTCGGGCACCTCAGGGACCCTCATTCCTGGCTTCAACTTGACAGCATCGCGCATCCAGTGGATCTCAACATCAACCTTCAGAGATGCGCAAGTCCTGGTAGTACTTAGCCAGCGTCAATCAGTTGCGAGAGCCATCAAGGACGACCCCATAATTACTCAAGCTGGTGGGATGTCATGAAACATGACCGGCATCGGGTCGGTCTCGTCGTCGACTCTCCCGAAGAAAAATAGGTAGTAAAAACACGCAAATGAGCTGAGCTGCTCGGTGCGGCCTCAGGTCTGACCTGATGAAAGTGCGCAGCCCTGGGCCCATGAAGTACGATGGCCCGGCCATGGAGTCGAAGAAGCAGGAGATGGTCGACAGCACCAGGAGCGGGCAGGATCTGCCTGAATCGCTGGGGCATCCCAAGCTTCGGGCCACTCTAACAGGTTTGAAAGCTCTTGGACGCAGGAACAAGAGCTTCTCCTGCTCCTTCGGTGTCGGCCCTCGCTGGCCCCGCGCACAGCTAGACGTGGCCGTGCGAACACTAAAGTCCTTCCGAAGCTGACCCACAGGCTTTACACACTTGCAACCATTGGAATCCCTGGTGAATCTGCCCTCACTCTCATCCCTTTCTTGTCGGGCGCAGCCGTTCTTTTCAGTTCAGAAGGGTCTGTCTCAGGTCGGGTCCTACATCGGAGATGGTGATGACGGGAGCTTTGGCGCGCTACGACCGGCCGGTGTTCTGAGGCGGCCGGCAGGGGCTTGTTAGGATCATGGAGCCAGACCACTAGGACCGACATCAGGATTGGCTGTTGTGCACGCGTTTGTTCGCGGTCTACAGAAAAATTCGCAGCCGTCGCTGTCAGTTCCCGCCGTACCATGCCATTGGTGCTGTGAGCATCAGCTCTTATGCCCGATGAATTCCAGGAGGAACGAAACTCATAGCAAGAGCTGAAAACCTGATGGCGGCTTGATCTCGGAGTCAATGTTTGCAGATTGTCACCAAAGACCGTGCTCTTCGCAGGGATGGGCTAAACAAGACCTGGCAGCAAAGCTCCCCAAAAGCGCATGAAGACTGTCACCAGGCGTAGTGGTCATTACAATGACTCGCTATGGAGGCAAGGACAGGGACAGAGGCCATGGTGGAATCAACATGCCACAAACAACACCTGCCAGCCTACCCATGTCATGTAACTAGCATGGACTGTGGGTGGCACCCAATGGGCCCGACATCAAGCTAAAACTATGGCTTAGCTCTGTTAAAGCTTCTTCATGCAGGTCCGCCAATGTGCGGGCTTTTATGTTGGAGACTGGTTTTCTGAGCTCCGCGAAACTGGCCCCACAACTAGGACTGGTGATCGCCAGAAGGCTTCGAGAAGGTGGATTTCCAGACCAGGTTACGTCATTTACCACATGTTATATGCTTGCCTGGCCTCTGTATTTCTCGACGAAACAGGAAGTTTTTTGTGTCACAGGCTTACGATGGACTTCGGGCAACTTGCCGAGGGTTTTTATCGCGGCAACAATACGGCTCGTCTTATAGGGATCCACCGCATGGGTTTATAGTTATTATAGTGCTCAGGGAGGCGTGGAGGGCTCCCATCTACCGGCTGCCTGCCAGGCGTTCTCGCCCGCCTGCCAAGCAGCGGAATGCGCAGAGCCTCGAGACATCTGAGAACGGAGTCTTGTTTGCCCAGGCAAGAGTAGAGTTTAGAGCGCCCTCCAAAGCTGTCGCTGCTCTCCGACAGGCATTAACACTTTCATGCAGTTTGGAGCGGCTCCAAGCTCGAAGTATGGCCAGGGTGTGGCTCGTCGACTAGATGAAAAACCGATCCTAGTTGCTGTTAGTCTAATGTCCTAGGCCTAAATGGTACGCTATATGAGATACCCAACATCCTCTCCTCACTCGGCCGGTTCTTCCCCCATCGTTTTCCCTGTCGGTGCAGTCAGTGATGCCGATGAGAGGAGTGCCCGGAAGGATAGTGATTCCGATGGTGCCAGCTGCTGCTAATGCGATGACGACCTGAGGACTGCAGATATGACAAGCGCAGGACGTAGGCTACCCTTCGCTGCACTGGCGACCTTTTCTTTGTCGATCAGGTTGCCCGGAGTTTAGCTAGGGACTTCAGTGAAGCAGCCACACCTGAAGCCGTGAAAGACTGCTGGATGCTGCCGGCGAGGATGACGGCATTACGCTTTTTTGCGGCACATAGCGTCGTAGAAGTTACTGTGCAGAGATTTCTGGAGCCACGACTTTAGTGTCTGGGTGGGCGCTTCAATGCCTCGTCCTGCCCAGCACCCCGAAAGGGGCACCCGGCAGCTTGTGAATCTGATGTCCAAAAGTCGAAAAGCGCAGGTGCAGAACAGAAGTGCAGACTAACGAGCAAGTGGCAAGACTGTCTAGCGTCTAGATCACAGCCTAGAGGCCTAGAGGGTCGAGGATCCGAGCGCTAGAACTACAATTGTCAGGTTGTCAGGCTTTTCTGTGCAGGGCCTCGCCGGCCCGTGCAAAAAAGCATCGACTTCCGCTTGGGCCGACTTGCTTTTCAGGAAGCATCGCGCCAAGCGCAAAGCTTCCGGCGTCCGATCGCGAAAAGAAGGCGAGTGGAGGGACCCAGAGAGGGTTGGCGGATTCGACAGGTTGCGGCGGCCCTGGAGTCTAGCGGCCTATGCTCAGGGACTCAAGGTCACCCTCGCATCACGTCCACCCGAGACCCACTCCAGAAGCAAGCTGAAGGAAAAGGGGTCGGTGGTGGCCCCTCCCGCTTGTAAAACAGGGGATGTTGAGATCCTCACGGTTCCACTAGAACGCGAGAACAGACGGCAGCTGGTAGCAAGGGCAAGGAGCCATCGGAAAGCGGCCTGATGGCATCTTTCAGTTCTGCGGACCCATCCCAGCAGCTTTCATGCTCAAACCCAAGCCAGCAGGATCAGCCACCAGTGCAGCTTCCCTTGAGCCCCTTGCAACCACAAGTCAAGCCTTCATTGGGGAGCGCAGCCGCCCCTGTGAAGCTCAGTAGCCCTAAACTCGAGCTCTCTCTCTAGGCGCGCTTCGTCGCCCCTTGTCAAGCCTCCGGGGATCGAAGCGACAAAATGCGAGCGCGTGGGCCGCTTCGCTCGGATGGGTCAAAACGGCTCGGCGCCGGCAGCCAAGCAGCCATATACATAGATTACATGTGTATATATATATACATATGTATGAATGTATGTATGTATGTATGTATGTATGTATGTATGTATATTATATATCTATATACACACATACCGCTACTACTAGTCTTCCATGCTGCTAAACTCTAGACTATTGCTAGACAGGCATCGCATGTTTGGAGTCTCGTTGCCAGCCCTCTCGAAACAGTCCTGGGTTTCGATTTTCCTGGCATTGACGTCCCAGGCAGCGGGTCTCAGCTTACAAGGCGCGAGGCTCAGGGCAGCCCGGAGGTTTTTCATGACTTTCACACTTTCAGGAGTCAAGGTTGTCATGCCCGGTATTTCACATGTAACAGCTTGCTGCCTGGATTCCTTCCCGCACCCTGCCGCAGCAAGTCCTGCTTTGGGCCCACTGCACATGTGGACAGCGTTGTGGAAGCCTGTGCTCGAAACTCGGAAAGAACTCTCCCCCTACAGGAAGCGCCGGAGCCACAGGAGTCGGCATTGGCACCCGAAAAGCGAAAGCGGAAGGTGAAGCCCGGGGCCTCAGAGAGGCCTCATTGTGGGGATCTAATCACCTCTGTATTGTGTACGAAGAGGCATGTACATAGAAGTAGCTAGAAGATGAGCCAATCACGCCATGTTTGAATCACACCTGCTACAATACTGGCCTGCGTGCGAGTGGGTGGCCACCCACCCCTCTACTTACCTACCTAGTTACAACTGCAAAAACGCACATACATATGTACACACCTGCAAGGTACACCAACTACTCGGTTCTTGTTCAGAACCTAGTTCGGCATACCATAATAGGAATGCATATCCTCCAACACTAATTATGTACCTATCGTCTCAACTTACATCAAGTTCCTCAACCAGAACCTGGTCGCGTGCTGAGGATCCGGACTCCAGAGGCATCAGAGGCTCCTGACATCCTTGACATGCGAAGCGCCGGGCACTTCACGTGGATCTTCGAGCTTTCAACTTCAAAGACGGGATGGGGCGGATGAAGTGGAGATTATGAAGTCGACAGGTTTTGTAGTAGATTTCTATGTGCTCTAGTGCCCCCGACAGGCCGGTACAGAGGCATCTGCACCGTCGATGGCAACGGTGACCGCCCGGGGCTTGCAGAGCAGGGCAAATCAGGAGACCTTGTGGGCGGGGGCTGTCCCATGTAGGAACACGGCTTTAGGAGGGAGGATTCTGCAAGAGCAGCAAGCTACCAAGGTCCGGGCTACAGGGCGTGTGCCTTCGGCAGAGGCCGAAAGACGATCCGAAATCCAAAGCCTTCGGGCTCGGCCTGATGATTGGTCCCACGTGTGTTCGTGTTTTGCCGTTTCTAAGATTCTAGGGCTAGAAGCAACATGGCTACTTGTGCTCAACGCCCCTCAGCAGAACAAGCCCGGTTTAGCTCGCCCCATCTTGCACATTGAGAGGCAGAAGACTCACTTCCCCTTCCACATACGCTTGAAGATGAAGGAGAAAGGGCGGGCTCGTCGGCCGGACCTTCGAAGTGTGGAAGGGGGGGTGCTTTGGAGTGGCCGGAACGAAGGAGTCAATTAGATGGAATTCAATGGTTCAAGGGATGCGGCTCTGCGGCGCCGGCGGCTTCACCACAGGAGCCATTTCCCGGAAGATGCCTCGTGTCATTAGCGGCCGCACGCCAGGCCTCCCCAGAATGATGGAGAGAATACGCAGACAGCTGTGAGTTATTATGATGCTCGGCATAGAGATCTTGCTTGCTGACTTTCGCACTTCTCGTACTTGCTTGCTTTTACGTACGTACTTACTTTACAACCGAGCATGCATGCATGCATGCATACATACCTGCATACACACATATATATGTATATATGACTGGACGATCCCGGAGAGCCGGGAGGGAGAATGGCTGGATGCTGTGTATGTTTCTCGCAGGCTCAGGCATCATGCTTGTGACACGGGGCATTCTCTTAAGCCGGTTATCAGCTCGGTCGCAGATCAGTAGAGATGACAACTAATTTCGAGGGCATCATGGCACTGTGTTCACCATGGGCAGCTGGTTCGGATATGAAGCAGCCAAACCTCGAAAGCCCTGACATGAACTCTTCAAGCCAAGCGTGGCCCGCTCTCCACTCTGCCAGCGCCGCAAGCGCTCCTGGGCCAGCCGAAAGCTGCCGCGCAGCCGCAGTCTGGAGCCCTGAGGGCTCGAAGGAAGCAAGGGAAGAGAAGCATCGATCACCTGCGAGCTTGGCAAGCGTACCCCTCAGATGGCGGCACATACTCGGGTTCTCTCCAGGGAAGAGGTATCCCGGCATTAGGATGGTGGCGGTAGCACGGTGGTAGTGCTACAGGCAGGCAGGAGGAGGAGGAGGCAGGACATACGAAGATATGTGTTGTGAACAGCCGCAGCCGTAGGTATAACGTCGATCAGAGAACCACAATCTCCCGTGAGAGTTTTTCGACGTTTCGAAAGAGCTTGGACTTCCCAAGCGAGCGAGAAAGAGATTCGAGGCCGCTCCGGCAGCGAGTCATCACGCGTCAGGACAGCAATGCTTGGAAGCTTTTGGTCTCAAGGCTTTGAGATGTTTGTTGCGGGTGGGAGCGTTTTGGAAAA